GCTATTACCTTTATCATCGCCATCGCTATGTTATTATCAGCATTATTGTAATTGCTAATACCATTACCATCGCCATGTTATTGTCAGCACCATTGATAAACTCCCAGACATACAGACGTCTGTAAATTTGTCAATTTTCAACTAAAGTTTTCTTGGCCGATATAACACCTTACCATTACCATTGGCCTTGTCCTTGTCATTGACATTATTAACAATTGTCTTCGCCATCCTCATCCCCAAGTCATTACCATTAGCCTTGTCATAGTTCATTTAGGCCCCGTCCAAACGTATCCGGAAATTTTTGTATCCGCAAATTGTTTTTGCGGATAAGGGTTGCGTCCACACGTGTCCGGAAATTTTTGTATCCGTATCCGGAAATTTTCGAAAACGGTCTCCAGAGTGGAAATTTTCGAATACGCTCCGAATACGGATACGTGTGGACGGTCGTATCCGCAAATTTTCGAATACGATGACGTAAACACGATTTTGCGCATGCTCAATAAGAAAAACTATCCGTCAAAGGGACTAGGCACTAGCGTGCATCAGGGCGGATCAAGAAATTTCCGGATACGTGTGGATAGTGAAAACGATTCGAATACGCTGCGTGTGGACGCGATTATTTTCGTACCCGCAAAAAAAATTTGCGGAGGCAAAAATTTCCAGGTAAGTGTGGACGGGGCCTTAAAGTCAGTACATTYGTTACGGAAATCCGAGAACAAAGTCCGAACTTCTTGGTGACCGTAACACAATCCAACACAATTTATACCACGTGACGGCTAGCGCCGAAAAGGTGAATTGTCATCACCATCCACATCGGCATGTTATTGCCAGTACCCTTACCGTTTCTAATACCATCGCCATCAATTTATTATACTTTATTTCGTTACAGACCAAAGAACGGTCCAGGTCCAATTCTGTTGCATTTCCAACTTATGGTGTCCTTTTTCAATTTAACGATCGTGCGCGAAAAATTGGAACATTTTCCTTATCATACGTTGAACGTAACAGAGTTTAGCATTCGACRGATCAGTGGTAGGTGTTGATTGATAAATTATGTTATATACCACAAATGTAAATTTTCTCGCTTTCTGATTTGTCGAGAGACGGCACAATTTGCCGCGCGCGACTTGACGTATACGGCAAATGTTGGTACCATTTACACGAGCACAACTTGTCGCACGCGGCACGAAAAAAACGCGAGCAWTTCATTCGTCATTACAGCAAAATTTTCTTGTAAAATGCCACCATACACAGTTGAGAAGTGCAGTAAATAATCATGTCTTCCTTGTTATTTGATGAGATCATTCAGAATTTTTGCASTTCGCGTTTAATTACCGGTAAAGACGTTTTCATGGAAATCCGCCATTTTGTTTTGAAATCAACTAGCTCCAGTCCCAATCTCGGTCAAAAACGTCATTTTTACGTCATTTTCCTACGGCATGTCGTAGGGTTTTAAGCCAAAGTTTAAAATGCTACGACAAGTCTTGAGGCCGCGTACGTCTGTCGTAGGACCATTTACACGACCCGATTTTGGGCTGATTTTGCCGTATACGTCAAGTCGCGCGTGGCAAATCGTACCATGTAAATAAATACTTGGACATTCCAAAAAATTACGTCTTCAAATAGCCAGCGCGCGTTTGAAACCAATCTGTATTTTTTGTAAAAAAAAAAAAGGATTTTCAATGATTTATTGTGGTATGTCCTTATTTAACACGATATGACGTCAACAGTACATAACTAATCTTCCTTCCTTCCTTCATTCCTTCCTTCCTTCCTTCCTTCCATCCTTCCTTCCTTTCTTTTTTTCTTCCTTTCTTTCTTTCTTTCTCTCTTTCATTCATTCATTTATTTACTCTTTCTTTCCTTCCTTCCTTCCTTCCTTCCTCAGGCCCGTAGCAGGGGTGAAATCATTGAGGGAGCTCGTTTTACCACGCCCCATATTTCTTTCAAGTATGTGCTCTCCTTCCTTCTTACCATCCTTCATTCCATTCGCGCGTCCGTCTGTTTGACCTTCCTTCGTGTCCCCTTTTCTTCCTTTTTTATCTACATCATTTATTTTCTTGCAGGTAATTGTAAAGAAGACCATAGGAGGTTATATCTAAATCTTAACGGAGGAACTTCCATTACATCACCTATTGTTCAAAAGAGGAGTGGTTTCCCCCTACGTTATAGCGTCTCTAGCAGCTGCGTTACGCCTCTTCGTACAAATGTTACCATAAAAATCGCTAGCATTTCGAAGGTAGGTTGGATAGCATATATTTCTTTGTACAGTCCATATTTTCTGACCGTAACTATAAGTGTGACACCTCTGTAACTGTCTGTGTAATCGTGATGGATGGATGGAGGGAGGGAGGTTGGAAGGGAGGGAGGTTGGGAGGGAGGGAGGGAGGGAGGGAGGGATGGAAGGATGGATGGATGGATGGAGTTGTACTGTACCCCAAAAGACAAAATTTACGATTTAACTTTTAATAATGACAATTAAAGATGGATTCTCCGAACTCTCGAATCCGATCGAACCATTGGGTAATTCAATGTGATTAAACGCATGACTGACTTTGTAAATGTAAGTGCTTATGGGACTGTAACGGTGATCGTGAAAGTAACGATATGACCGAGTGTGAATCTGACACTGCGTAACTATGTACACGTGACTAACTACCTTTGAGAATAAGTCGGTTACGAGCCTCGATTTCAACCAGCCTCAGCTAAGCTAGAAAATTGGAAACATATAAGTTGAGGGTGAACGTGAGACCGTGTGATTGTAATTTTGCTGATTGCATGGCCGCGACTGCGTGACTGCGTGACACCCGCAGAATTCAAACATAGCTGCGCAAACTAAATTTCAATTTATCTCGTCAAAACGAAATCTTTTTTCATCAGCAATAACACAATATGTTATCTGTAAAAGGTATTCGTTGTCTCTCAGATGTACTTTACTTTAATTTCGTTTTTCCTATGTAGTCATTACGCTTCGCGCGCTCTGCTTGGATCAAAACTATGCCTTCGAACTCAAAAACCGTGAAAAGACTGCATTGCTCACATGATCTGCGTGCAAAAAAACGGACAGACATAAAAATATGTTTCCTGCTGATTGGCTATTTCTCTATGGCTGAACAAATATGATATCATAAATGTAATTTGGATTTTTGTTATTTTTTTATACGTAGGACGGCTACATCTCAAACTTTACAACATTTTGCAGTACAGAGCTATTGAATCTAATCTCATTATCACATTTTTGCCAAATTCCCCCACTTTCGCTGAACGAGGGGTTGCATTATGTAATCGGTGAAGCAAGGACGCCACAAGATCCAAGCATGCATGGTTTTGATTACGTCTTCATGAACATTACAAAGGGGGAGTTATTTGCTCACATAACCGAGGCTACTGGCTGTGTACATGTTCTGGGCATCCTATCCTACCTCAATGCAAGTGGTTCCTACGATAAAAATGCCTTTGCAACAGGTAAGAAAACTACTGTGGTTAGTGCGAAACAAGCAGACTTGATACTATGTCATTTTAATAGAACAGATCGCCTCTAAAACTCTGGCTTGCCGTGTTAGTCCAAGTTTTAAAGCTACAAGTGAATAAGAAGAAAACCTTCACGATATAAAACATATAAAAAATGAAACTGTACTCAACACATTTAAGCTACCGTATCCGTGTCCAAGCATGTCATATATAACATCGAAAATGCTTCAGATTTCTTGATACAGTCACAGAGTGTAACCATGACCACGTTAAAGCATATGGATGGTGGCCACAATAGAGGCGTTGTACCATCATGTTCCCACGCCCATAATACAGCTAGGACTGCCTCTTGGGAATTAAATTCTTACTTATGTAAAACAATTATATTGTTCCTGCCATCTAACATGGCTGCTGTCACGTGATGGTGCAAAACCTCTATTCGCCAGGAAGCCGTTTCCAAGTGTCCCACTCACACGCAATCTGATCTTTTGCACTGAGAAACCTTCAGAAATCTTCCCACCACCTTTCCTCGGCATATTAAAATTTTCCTCGGCATCTTAAAATTTTGCAAAATGCTCCAAAATGACAAAGTGACAAGAAATGCTTGTAACATTGCATGCAGAGCTGAGTTAGGAAGGTTTCCGCTAAAATGCAAAGCATGCAGTAGAAGCTTTACATTCTAAAAAAAATTATAAAGTCGGAACTACACCCAAAAAAGCTTTCAGCTTAAGTCTACCAAGATATTAAAAATGAAACTAAAAAAGCCTTTTGGAGCATAAGAATTAAAACTACTTTAGAACAACTCGGATTGGGGATAATTTGGATGAAACAAAATGAACTTTCTTCAAGATGGTATCGGAATATGGAAAAATAATAACCCAAAGAATATATGACATTGAGAGGCAAATTTTATGGAGTAAYCTCCACAATGATGAAAGGAAAGACGACAGACATAAAAATAAACTGCGTCAGTTCAAAACGGATTGTAACTTTGAAGAATATGAGTCAAGTCACCAATATTAAGCACAGAGTGGCGCTTACAAACTTAAGAATAAGCAACCATAAGCTTGAAGTAGAAACGGGGAGGTATAAGAGGCCTTATCTAATTTACGATGAAAGGATTTGCCCAGTGTGTAAGTCGGGAGTAGAAARCSAAAAAMACTTTCTAGTTTGGTGTCCACTATATGACTCTCAYAGAAACGAYTTAAGAGAGTTCATAGAAAAAAACACCAGCATTAATATCAACAATATGAGCGTTGGCAGTCGTTTTCTGTTCTTAATCAATTCAAAATCAGCGTCTCTACAAAAAGCTATATCAGCATACATTCATCAATGTATGCTGATACATGAAAACCAAATAAGAAAAATACCTAATACATAGTATATATATATATACCTATAATATATTTTGAACCAAACACCCATGTACTCTTAAGTATAAGGTGCAAAATAAATAAATTGTATATTGTATTGTATTAAATGAACTTTCCCTAAAGCACGATTGCGAATTTTGATTGGCTCTTACTCTCTTTCAGATCTAGAAGCAATCCGGTATCCGAATGATCTCCGATATACATGGGTTTGTTATAAGACTGGTGATTCAATGACCGCTACCACCCCAACGAAAGCACGAAGTCTTCCCTTCGTTGAAAGCGGTGTCCCAATATTAGGAAGATCTGGGGGCTGTTTTGGATATGGGCCAGGTCGATTGAGAGTGACAACCAGAGCCACGTACTTTGAAAGCAGTCATTTAACTGTTGGTGAATACGTGTATTTTAGGGTGTTCATTGAGAAAGGTGAACGTTTCGCCTATGTCACTAAAAGCTGTTTGATTACCCCTGCACCGGAAAAGTTTGGTGTTCGGTAGGTAAATCTAATGCGGTAACCACTAGTGTAACAGATATTAGTGTATAACATATCTGACGATTGAGAATAAGTGAAGACAGGAAGTGCTCTGAAAAAGTACTAGGGAAAATAGATATGGGTATAGATAGTCCTCAGGTCTAATGGATAGTATAGATATGGATATACGTAGTCTTAACTTCAGGTCTAATGGATAGTAGATAGATATGGGTATAGATAGTCCTCAGGTAGATAGATTTTGTTATGAGTAACAGCATATTGACAGAAAGAAGTACCTACAGTAAGTGTAAGGAAGACAGGAAATTGGAAAAGACAGCTTGTTGACATCGAATATTGATTGTTGCTTCATTTGCTATTTTTCCTTTTAATGAAAATAGCTGTTAAAAAGTGAAGAATAAATATATATATTAAGGAATATAAAACGCGCGCGTATGTCTTTGCGTGTCTCTGTCCGATATAAACACGGTAGCCAGCCAATTAGCGCGCGCGTTACATCTCAAATATTCTATAAATATTTGCAATCATATATATTTTATTTCAGATGCAAGTTTAACTGTGGCCCTCTGATGAAGACAACRGCAAGAATAGGACTAGAACCAGTTTGTGAAGATCCCGCAGGATGTAGTATTAAATTGGTACATTCCTGGAAGTTCTTCGTGGACACTGAGAGAGAGATAGACAATGGAGACGGAACATGTAAGTGGTTACACTTCATATAATCATAATCATAATAATGTCTTATTTGTAAGAGAAGGTTAATTTATTTTGGCAGCTTACGCTGATGTGGGCCTGCTTTCATTCGCACTCACCACCACTACATTTAATTACTATTTTATGCACATGTTGATTTTTACAGAGGCAGGAAAACTGGAGAACCCGTAGCCTGCGACCCTATGAGGCAGCTCCCTAAAAATCCCTCCTCCCCAGTCTCCTTCCCTTCCTCCTTCCCTCCCCCCATCCTAACTTAGAAAAACCGCCTAACTCCCCTTAGAAACCAAACGTTTGTAATGGCTTGTTTTTGCAGCTGAACGTGTCTGGCAACCATATTACGCCATGAAAACTTTAACTGAAACCACCAACATTTACATAGTTGTGGACAAGCTGAGTTTTGAACAAAACAAAACTTACAGAGCACAGCATATCGTGAAGAACGACAAAGGTGGCATTCGAGTAACGAATTACAATTTCACAACCAACACTTTCCCGCACTCCGGTACCTGCGAGGCCGATAAAACCACACTACAAGCGGGAATAGACACTGTGAATATCACCTGTAGAGACTGGGTTGATGAGCAGCCTTACTTGAGTTATGAAGCCTGGATCGTACCGCATAATACTGAGCCTAGATTAGTATACTTTGGCAATTCTACTTCATTCAAGCTGAGGTTGCCATTAGGGGATAGTGCGAATAATTTCACACTGCAGATGGAAATCAAGATCTTTGACATTTATGAAAGCACTAGCTTTTTTATGAACTTCACAGTAAGTATACTAGTTTTCACACCAAATGTTCTTATACCAGGCTGCGAGACCCTTATTGGTCAGTTTGATCGTTTTTCTTTATTTTCGTCATTGGGTTTTGAAATGCGTCTTTCAGACAGTTTGTTAGCCATTCCGATTTTGAGTGAAAGGCTGGATCTATTTGGAATTACAGTGCATTGCGTGACGGTTTTAGTGGACACGATAGACCACGTGACGTCATCTTGAAATATGTACTTTAAAACTGTCTCACGATGCACTGCAATGACAACTGTACCCACGTTTTTCCTAAGGGAATGGCTAATAGGTTAAGAGAGAATTCTTTTCGTATTCAAGCGGTGAGCGCCAAAAACTATTTTCTTGAAGAATGGTTGTTGTACAAGGCTAAAATCTTGTTATTCAGAAAGTTTAACTTGTTTGGAAGTGGAGATGACCGATGAAAGTGGAATCAAAGAGTTAACCCAAAGCAAAAATTTTATTCGAAAATGAGGTTTAGGCCTTCATTTGCTTATTTCCAATATATTTTCTATAAAAAAGCCTGACAAAGCAACTTTCTAACACAAATGCAACAAAATTTTTGTACAATTGAAAATACCGCTTCAAACAGGCATTTTATCATAGTACATCAGTTTCTAACTGCTCAAAAAAGCTTTTGAGTGTTAACCCAAAGCGAAAATAAGGATCAAAACTCATACGAAAGTCTAGTTTTTGGCGCTTTTTGCCATTATTGCTCATTATTGAAAAACAAAAAATCCTCTTACTTTCTCTTTTTTAGTCGTTTGGTATAGTCGGCGGACTGTTATTATTTTTTGTTAATTCATTTTTATGTTTCTTGGTCTGTATCTAATGAATAATATATTCTCTCGCAGGTTATTGAACCAATTGTAGACGACCCTGTCGGTGCGATGTTCAATTTGGTAGGACAAGAGGGTGATGATGAAGATGCAAATGAACAAGAAACGGCGCAGAAGAGTATCGCTACTCTCAGTTTACTTGGAAACAACTTCGCCTCGAATATTTCAGTAGAAAATAAAACGCTAGTAAGTAAAACATTCATTGAAATATTTAACAGATAAAACGAATGAAATACACAATGACGTTTTTCGTTCCCCTTTAATTAAAACTAGGCAAGTAGCTGGTAAGTTGTTGCTTAAAATGATCTTACTTTTTTGCTCATGGAGCGAGGGCGGTAAAGGTTATATTTATACGCGGGAGAGAGGAAACAATTGAATACAGGATCCTTTCTCTGCGCTCTCTCAATCGTGAGCTACGATAGCTCAAATGTAACTGAAAGGCGCACGGACGGACGGATGGACGGACGGATGGATGCATGAAGGGATGCATGGATAGACAATTAATTATCGGAAGGTGGACAAAGCTTGTTTATGTGTCCTGTGTCTTTCAAAACATGCTCGCATTTCCAAGCATTGTCTCCAAAATGTTCCAATATATATGCGTATCGTATATATTTACCATGCAATATTGTTTTCAGATAAGAAACTCAATTATCTCCAAGATGTCTAATTTTTCTGCAAACGACACTCAAAGTATCAGCCAAGTCACCGGGGTCCTGATCGATTCAACCTCGAAAACAGACGAGCTTTCCTCGGAAGGACAAGTAAGATGACGCTTTTGATAATATATAAGTACAAATTCCTAGTGTTATCATGTTTTGGAAATATTTTCGCTCACATTTTCGCTCGATTCTGCTTACAATAATGAAGCATCGCCAACTTGATAAAAAGTCCAGAAAAAGTGGTGGTACCCGTCCAGAATTTGCCCATTTGTTGGTAATTGAAAATATTTCTATAGATAATTCCGTCAATTGCCATCTTATCTTTAACAGTTCACGGAGCCCTTTTCGTCAATCGACAACAAATATCAAATACCATGTAGTAAATTTATTTCCTCAATTCTCGACTTTCGCATCCCCATAATCTTTTGCGTCTTTGGGGGGTAACCAGAGGGTAAAAATCCACTAATTTTGTTGAAGGCTGATCAGACAATGTTGAAAATACCTTGTTTGGTATCAGAAAAACAGAAAAAGATAGAAGCTTCAAGACGTTTAAGGTAAATTTTAAACATTTTTTCGTAAGTCAATACATTTTTTGTAAAACAAAACTCTTTGATGATCTGTACACGCAAAAATAACTTGGAATAAACTGATAATCAGTATTGTACAGATAAAAGCAGGTATAGTATAAATTCAATTAAGAAACCTTTCAATTTGGGACAGTTTTTTGATTGGTTACCCCCAAAAAAGCAAGGCATTATGGGGATGTGAAAGTCGAGAATGGGATGGCAAAACTTTCAAAACTGAAAGCCACAATATACCATGTACTTCCTTATAAGGCGTTTTTTATCAAACCAGGTTTTACAACTCAAAAATAATATAAACTGATAATGACTAAAAATTCCGAATAAATCGCGTTTCAGATGCAATCCATCCAAGCAGCCTTTGGTATGTCAGAATCACTTAAAAATGACAATTCAACTGACGACCCGGCGATATTCGAGCAAGTTGGAACCACTTTACTTCATTTGACTGGTAATGTACTTGATGGAGCAGCAACGAACAACACCAGCACTAAAGAATCAGGCGCTGCCAAGGTACGACTAGACCTGGGGGTATAATATTATCCCATTTTAGACCACGTCATTCCGTATCATTTCTTTGTTTAAAGGTTGSGCATGAGAAGATACATGAATATGGAAACTGTAGAAAAGCCTTTTATTTTCGTTCAAGGTTATGACAAATGGTCTGAAATGGGAAAAATTACGGTCATTGCCATGCCTTCTTTAGGAGTTTGTCTTTTCTTTGGTTTTGGTGTTTAGAGAGAGTAAAGGATTCTTTTTTATCCTTTCTTTCCCTTTCTTTCTACTTTCTTTAAAATTCTTCTCTCATCATTAATTTTTTATATTGCTTTTTTAATTAGTTACCCTTTTTTTCAATTTCAAATTTATTTCTCATAATTTTCTTTATTTTCCTGCACATTAACGATTTCTTGTATCACGACTATGATCTTACCCTTCATCCCTATGTGGGATTCAGTTTTTCCCTTGCGTTAGATATATTAAGCGAGCGGGATGTAAAAGATAACCATCGACAAAGTCATGGTTTTGAAGCCTTGCAACCACATATACTGAACATTGATAATGCGTTTCGAAGCTGAGTGAACTTAAAGCTACATCAAGTTTAAAAACAATTGGTCGTAGAGCAATGTAAAAAAAAGATGTCTCTTTTTTACTGACTGCGCCGTTTTGTTTTTATTGAAAGGCGTTGGGAGAAACTGCCCTAAATACAAGCAACACCATCTCCTCGATGCTGATTGGTAAAATGATGGGAGGAGAAAAAGCAAAAACTTTTCTTACTCCATCTCTCGGGCTAGAAATCTCCAAAACCGAATCAGATAAGCTACCTGAAACCTATACTGTTAATGGTGGAGGTGTTGATGTTCCTCCAGTCATGAAGTCACTGATTGGTAAAGCCACAGAGGTAAAAGTCAAGTGTAGTTAAGAATAACGAATGCTTCACTGATTGACTAACTCAGTGGTTAGCCCAAGCAGGCAGAGTGACTGACTGACTGACTGACTGGCTGACTGACTGACAAACTGACTGACTGACTGACTGACTGACTGACTGACTGACTGACAGACGGACGGACGGACTGACTGACTGACTGACTGATTGACTGACGGGCTGACTGTGACTGACGGACTGACGGAATGAGGGACTGTCGGACTGTCGGACTGACGGACTGACGGACGGACTGACTGACTGACTGGCTGACTGACTGGCTGACTGGCTGACGGACGGACTGACACAATGAATAAACGATTGAAAAAAGGAAGAAAGGTATAGATGAATGTATGGATGGATGGATGAACGAATGCATGAATAAATTGATTATTTCTTAATCATGTGATATCCTTCCTTCTTTAGTGTACTTCAAATGAAATATGCCTGGCTGCTGATACTTTTGTCAGCACAAAGATGTTATTTTCGAACAGCAACCCCTACACTTGGGGTAACGGCAGCCTTGAGGTAAAGTCACCGGTGGTAAGCCTTGATTATCTCACGAACGGTGGTGATACAATACCTGTAGGAGGGCTAGACACTGACTTTAAACTCTCAATTCCAACAAAGCCAACTCCGAAACCAAATAAGACAAGCGAGTTTCCAGACTTCGTGACACCGAATACAGACTGCGCGATGCATAAATTCTACATCGCCAACAATGACACTGCTTTTGAGACGATCATAAATCCCGTGGAAGAAACGTTCGTGACTGTCTTCGTGCGCCACAACATGAGACCAACTGAAGAAAAATATGATTATGTTTTTCATCATCCAAATTTATCTTCGTGTGTTGAGCCTCCCGAGCGTGACAACTGCACTGGGGTCTTCGATTTTACAGAATGCATGGGTCTTAACCGAACTTCAGAGAAATTAAGCGACGAGAGGTGCGGAGACGTCACAATTCCTAATATCGGTCCCTTTTCCAACAACACAAACCTAACACTTGGCCAAGAAACATGCATAGATTATCACAATGCGGTAACATGCCCAGTTGTTGAATGCAATCTTAACAGTAGTGGAAATAGTAGTGGACAGAACATCAGTCAGATCGCTGCAATTAATGGAAACCACAGTAGTCTTTGTGGCAATCTGACTAATGGTAATCATACTTCCGACAACTCTACGAGCAATAACAAGACAGATGTTTGTCAGAAAGTGAAGGATTTTCTTTATTGCAAAAACGCAAGCATGGAGAAGTACGAAAAATGCAAAGRACTTTTAACAAAGAAGAAACTTATTTACGGAAAATACGACAATTGCTCTGAAAATATTTATCGCACATTCTTTGGCCTTGACATTTTTCGACAAGGGGGTTGGTACTATGCATCAATTTGTTATCCTGCCCGACAGAAACATGTACCAACGACTCCAAAACCTACGACCCCAAAGCCAACCACTCAAGTGCCAACCACTCGAGTGCCGACGACAGAAGCTGATGGTGATGGTGATGGTGATGGTGATGGTGGTGGTGATGGTGATGGTGGTGGTGGTGGAGGTTGGAGTAGTGTTACTCCAAAACCTACGACCCCAAAGCCAACCACTCAAGTGCCAACCACTCGAGTGCCGACGACAGAAGCCGATGGTGATGGTGATGGTGGTGGGGGTGGGGGTAGCCGAAGACGTGGGAAAGGGGAAAGGGATCGGAAGAAAAGGTCTTTTAATAGAGATCAAACGAAATGGATGAAGGATGACATTCTGGATTCGTATGAAGGGAATGTAGTAGACGTTACAGAAGACACAACTGAACATGACGTTTTTAAAATTGATAGAGACATAGATTTCACTTTAAAACATTCATTGGATGGGCATTCGTATGATTCCATAAAAGCAATCGATGAGAAAACTAAGAATTATTTGCCTTTTAAAAACCAAGTGAGATCCAATGGGAAAGAAAAAGAATTGTCTACCTTCAGTGAAGAAAAAGATTATGATTACGATGCTTTTCTGGACAGCGAAGAAGAAGCATTTTACTCTAATGATGGTGGGGCCTTTGGGATGAATACAGAACCAAGAGTTTTGATTCGCTCTCGCCGCGAAACGACGCCGCGAAAATGTGCTGTYGTGGAAGAAAAGCCAGCCCCAACCACCCCTCCACCACCGACTGATTTTCCTCCAGTGAAGCCACAAGTATTCAACGCGAGCTCTTCTTTGAACTACTCGTTCGATACCAACCTTTTTACGTGTCTCTTCTGGAATGCAACAACAGAATCCTGGAGCACCAACGGATGTCAGGTAAGAAGGTACATCAAAGCCTGAGGCTTTGTCTTTTCTTTCTTTCTTTATGGTCTCCGCCTTAACTTAATTTGCCCAAACCTTTCAAGGAAGTAGCCCGAACGTAAACTCGAGTGTGTTGGGGGTATACATAGCTCCTCTATCTACGATCACCTCTCACAGAAATCGGATAGGGCGGTTTTTGACCCTATATTGGCCTCCTTAAAGTACTAGTAGGGCTATTTTTGGCACTACCGGTAGGGGCCATTTTTTTAGCTCTGATTTTGGGACTGTTTTAGCCCCTTATATGGATTTTTCCCCTGATTTGGCCTAGGTGAGGGTTCCAAAACACTACTAGTAGACCACTACCAAAATGACTTCTGTGGGGCCAAAATAGCATTGTTCTATTTAAAAAAATAAAAAATAGCACTACTTTGAATGAACCAAAATGGCTTTCTGGGGCSAAATTGGTCCTCTCAAATTTACTGTGCTCCCACCGTATCCTTGGAGACAAGAAATATATTTTTCCAAAAAAGAAAACATGGGATATTTAATGCTAAACTATCCGGGGGAAAAGGAACGGCAACTTAGATTTTCGTCCGTTGTTGTCATCTTAAGTCCAGCTCTGACAACTTACCTTATAATTTATGTTATTCTTTCTCAACTCTTAACTAGGCCGCAATTTTTCGTTTCGTCTCGCAAATCCAATGATACCGACGATATATAGTCGCACGGAATATAATACAAGCCGGACCGATTACTCGAAAATATATCTTCCATATAGATTAGAAGAACGAAGAGTTCATTTCATTGCAGTATATATACTCTCAAACGTGTTCCATTTATATATTTATTTATTTATTGTTTTCTCAAGCCCCACAGAAACTCAACGCCAACATTGCTCATATGCATGTGTAATCATCTRACCTCCTTTGGCGCCGACATGCTGGTTGCTCCAAACCCCATCGACTTTGATGAGGTCTTCGCAAACTTTGCAAACCTTGGTGAAACTGGCAACTTCTCCGTTATGTTCACCATCATTGGTCTTTTTCTACTCTATGCTCTTGCTGTAGTTTTGGCTCGAAGGGCAGACAAGCGAGATGTTCTTTTGGTAGGTACACAAACTGCTTTCTCACCTCTTATTTGAGTCCCCCTTAGCCAAGCTGTCCGATTTCGATAGATGTTGTGCACCTATCACTGTTAAACGTCAGGCTGTGAAAGGCGGGTTGAGGTGGCTGTTGTGAAGGGTTATATTTAAATTTCTCGACCATTGGAATTAATTGAATGACTAATTGCCATCCCTTTGTGGTGACTCGTTTTCAGATTTCGTGCTATAGATCTTTTAAAATGCCAATAGTGATAATTTTATACCCTGGAAATACCCAACCAGGTCGATGTTCTCAATATCAGGGTGGTCTCGCCTCAATGGCTGTCTTTAAAAAAGCTAAAAAAAGATTCAAGAAAATACAACAAAACTTTAAAGCAGAATTAACAACCTTAGTGTTCTTTTTTATAGGTTTCCAAAACAAGAGTCGGTTCCATAGATCCAAGATGTGGAGGCCAGAATTACGAGATTGCTGTTTCCACAGGAACTTTCMGAGGGTCAGGGACAACAGCTAATGTAGCCCTTACAATGATTGGCGAGAAAGGAACAAGTCAGACAATTCCACTTGTCGATGAAACTGGTAGTTCAGAAGAGCTTTTGTCACGTGGTAATGTGGCGTACCTAATGGTGAATACCCCTGAAGATATCGGAGATATTAACTACATTCGAATCTGGCACAATAACAAAGGGAACGATCCTGCTTGGTTTATGAGGCAAATTACTATTCGAGATGTGGTGTCAAATAAGAAATGGTTTTTCTTACATAACGATTGGTTTGCTGTTGACAGAGCAGACGGGAAAATCGATCGACGTATTTACTCCGCAAGTGAAAGCGAAAAGTCGAAGTTTAAGACACTCTTTTATTCCCATACAGCGAAAAGCTTCAGCGATAAGCACTTGTGGATCTCTGTAATTCTTCGGCCACCCTCAAATCCTTTCACTCGGGTGCAGCGAGTAACATGTTGCTTGTCATTGCTTCTCTGTGCAATGTTGGCCAATGCGATGTTCTACCAAAATGGAGGAGGATCTGAAGATACCTTGAAGGTTGGCCCATTTAAGCTGAGCCTGAAACAAATCATCATAGGAATCGAAAGCGGTCTTATCGTGGCTCCAGTTAATGTTCTCATCATAACTCTGTTTAGAAAAGCCCGACCAAAGACAAAAGCAGCAGCAGATCAGATGGATGACACCAAAGAAAAATATTCATCGCCAAAAGACCAACCGAACGATGGAAAAAAGCGGAATGATAAATCTAGCAAAAGCGACCCAGACAACACTAATAAGACAAGGAAAGAGAAAGTTAAGAAGAAAGGTTTTCCTCACTGGTGYATTTACATTGCATATTTCCTGTGCGCCATTAGTGTTCTCGTCTCAGCTACTTTTGTCCTTTTCTACAGCATGATGTGGGGCACAGAAAAGTCCAATGAATGGATTACCTCTGTCCTGCTTTCTCTCATTCAGGACATACTTTTAATTCAGCCGTTGAAAGTCGTTATCTTGGCAATGATACTTTCGGCCATTTTCCGAAAACCACCAGAAGAGGACCCAGAAGAAGAATTGGATACCCAACAACAGAAATCAGAGCAGCAAACTCCAAAAGATTTTGGCACCAGTAGTGATATATTCAAATTTCATGATATTAATCCAGAGCAATACGAGCCATTAGATTCTGAGAAGGTTGAAGACGCACAGGATTATCAGAATAAGAGGAATACACTACGATCAACAATAAAAGAAATCGTATGGCACTTAGTGTTTATTTTGCTGGTGTCAGTGGCTGTGTTTGGCTCGCAGTCTTCTCATCGTTATAAACTACATGATCATTTGGATAAAGTCTTTTCCAAAACAGAACAGGTATTTTATATTTTCTTGCAGAGTTATCTTTCCACAAGAGGATGTCATGTTGAAGGTTGCAGCAAGCTCAAATGTCTGTACATTGAGAAAAATGCATCTCTGTATGATCAGTTCTTCGCATAAGACCAAAACTGGACCAAATCCATTCAGACGTAATGTTTTCCTGTTTAGACACGTGTCATTTCCAAGAGTATCATTTCTTCGTTTAACGGTTGCCCATGAGAAGACACATGAATATGGTTTCAACTCAAAAAAATAAACTTATTTTCAACAGAATAACACGTGGTCTGAAATGGGGAAAACATTACACCCAAGGAGAATTGGTCCATTGCGCTTTCTGCACGAGAGAGAAATAAGAAGCGTGCACGGCAGCAGAAATGACCTTCCGCTTATTTGTTTCTCCATTGCTATTCCAGTTTTTCCTCAACGCCCATCGACACAAATTTAACCTTGGATGCGTCTTCTGTACTTTCAGGTAACAACTGCAGATACATTCTGGTCGTGGTGTGAAACAGTTCTTATTCCAGGACTTTACGACAACGACTGGTATAACGATCGAAATTTCACCGACGAGAGAGGAGGATTTATTTCAAACAAGAAAGGTCTTCTAATTAGCATGCCGAGAATGCGACAAGTACGAGTGAAAGCAGGTAAGGCAGATTGAAAATTACAAGGTAAAATCTAAACTTCCAATAGGTGGTTTCGTTATCATTTTAGCTTGAAAATTATAAGATCTCTCGATGCCGTCGAATTAGTCAAATACTGCTGTGTTCCTTTATCACATACTCATTTATACAGGGCTAGCCTCATTTCAAATATTCACGATTACCAACCGGTAAGGTAAAGAATGCACATTTTCGACAACACAAACACATTCCACGGACCTTCACTGAAATGCTTGACATGGAAAGTAATTCCATATAGAATTCGAAACTGGAGTATTCAAACCGCAGTTTTTTTAATTCGGTAAGGTAACCAATTTTGCCAAATGCCAGTGCCTCATTTTTTTTGGTTTTCTATAAGGAAAAACTTTGAAGGGATGATTATAATTATGGTGCTCTTTGCAAATAGCTCATCGAATCGTATACTGAGACATTGTTTAGTTCGTGCCAAATAATCCTTCTTTGAACGAAAAGCTTCCATGTATGTAGCACCTACTGAATCCGTAATTCTTCAATARCTTAATATGATTTTCACCTTTCATGATGCATTGGTCGTTTACTTTCTGGTATATATTTTAAATTCAAAACTGAGTTGGTTGCCTTGAAAATTTCACTAAAGTCTTTAGATCTGATAACGAACTGCATCCATATTTTTCAACAGAGGAATGTACTGCAACCAGAGATTATCCAAAACTCCATGAGATGTTCCCAAAGTGTTATTCAGATTATTCAATGTCGAAAGCAGACGAATCGTCGCCTTTAACCTCTTCCAATCCACAGGCGTCTACACTAAATGATAGTATACTAAGTGGGGAAATCGGCTTTGAGAGAATGTGCTTGCAGCCCTTCATGGTCCAGTCCGCAGACAAACTGGGTACTCTTCCTCTAGTAACTGATGACGCAACATACTCCGGTAGCGGAATGGTAGCAGATTTAGGCTACGATAATTCAACTGCTAGTGAAGTGATTGTCAATCTCAAAGCAGATCAATGGATTACAAGGCAAACCAGGGGGGTATTTGTTGAATTTGTCATATTTGAGCCGACGTCTAAACTTTATGCCTTCGCTCGGTTTATATTTGAACAGAAATCAATCGGTTCATTTTTTTCATCAAAGTCTATTGAGCCTTATGCATTGTATGGCACGGGCAGTTCGGCTTTGGACTCTGTCATTCTCGCCATTCAATTTATTTTAATCATTTTCATCTTAGTATGTTTGGTTAAAGAAATCATCAAAATGGTCAAGCTGAAAATTCCTTACTTCAAAGACGCCTGGAACATACATCAACTATTAATGCTTGGATTTACAATTGGTTTGGTGGTTCTCACCTTGGTAAGGGATGTTTACGTAGCAAATCTTATTAAGACCATCCAGGACAACCCCTACGCGAGGATGAGCTTCGATTATGTCAAATATGGAACAGACGTCTGGAAGACTATGGCCTCTTTGGTTGTTTTCCTAGCAACGCTAAAACTACTCAAGCTCCTCAACTTCAATAAGAAGATTCTTACTTTTGTTCAAGTGTTGAAACTTTCGCGACCGTTTCTGACTTCATATGCATTTTTCTTTTTCGTCGCGTTTTCTGCCTTTGCGCAGTGCGGGAACTTGATATTTGGCCAACAACTCCTAATGTATTCTAACGTTATGAGGTCTTTCGTCAATGTTTTCCAGATGGCTTTGGGCAAAGGTTTGTTCTTTCATGACCTCAAGGATATAACAGCGACACTGGGACCATTGTTCATCCTTTGCTACTTTTTCGTCACGACCATTCTCTTGGTGAACTTCTTCGTCTCCATTCTTAACGATTCGTACGCCGACGGCTCGAAGAAAATAGAAGACGACACTAACGAAGAAGCAATTATGGCCGCGTTCATGTCTGCCTATCTCAAGTCCTCCTTGAAAGATATTTCAAGAGACCTTAAACAGATGCGATCAAAGCCGGGAAGAGGCAGAGGGAGAAGATTAAAGGGTCAGAAGGAAATGGCAAAAACAAGAGAGGAAAAGAGATTGAAGCAGCTGGAAAACGAAGTGTCTTATTTTCTTTATTGAATGGATTCTTCCATAAAATTGCACCTTGCAAGGCACTCTTAATTTAGAGTCATTTCGCATTAACATGTAAAACAAGATTATACACGAATCGTTAAAGTCAACTTATTAGAGATATTTACACTTGGGGACCTTTGAGGTGTTTCTTATCTATTACCGCAGGGCATGTTAATCACAATTTGTGCAACGCCAAAATTTCTTACTGTCGTTGTTTTAGGTAGATTTCGAGCTATTAATATTTCTGGTCTATGAACTGCTGAAACTGGAGCCAATGTTTATTTAGCCAATGTGCCAGATTCCATTGATTTAATTATGGCATAATAAAGACGTGCCATTTTTAGATATTGATCTGTCCAAAATAATGATTACAATAAGCAAAAACCAACTTCCAAATTCTAATCCAATCTATCGGTTGCCTTGTATTTGGGTCCTAGACCTGTAAGGTTTTTTCCACCTCAGAGTGCTAAAGTTGAACAAATAAACAAGCAGGAATTTTTTCTCCATCGGCATGAAATCCTAATAAAAGTATATTATTCTTAGCGAAAACGAAGGAAAAAATCGTAGAACAAAAGAAGAGGAAGTAGTTGCATTTATTTCTATATCACTTGCTTTCTTTACTTCAGTCATCTCTGAGAATTCTTCATAGGGAAAACGAAGAAAATTTGCAGAAGAAAAGGAGATGAATCCCCGAGCTACTTGCACTTCTTTCTATATCACTCGCTTTCTTTTCTCTGAGGGAGAAGTAATAATTTACGATAAGGATGAGAATCACTTGCTAAATGTAGGCAGAAAGCAAAGATGCATGTAAGCGATATAAAGAAAAAATATAACAAAAGATGACATCCATCATGCTTTAGTACTGGTCTGTATTAATTCACTCACCGATCACACTGAGATTTTCAGTTATACACCATTATACATTTTTCTTGCGAGCTGCACGTTTATAAATCACAGACAGTCAATTACAACATAAGTATCCAAGTAGGCGTCGCAGTTTCACGGGTCAACTATTTAAGCCCCCGTGCTCCTTTAAAATTATTATTGAGATGGACTGTATCATTGAGATAGACTGATAGATTGTATACCGCTCTACAAAAAAAGTAGTGGACTATTGGAAACCGTGCGTTCTAATTGGCTAAGGTACTATTGGTCTAATACTCATACACCACGTTTGAACAAAAATCCTATGCATCTGTCAGTTAAGAAATGATAAAGAGTCTATCGAAATCTGTTTTTTTTTTTTTATCCTTTCCTATTAAGACTAGTTTGTTTATACTAACTGATCCTCATTAGCTCCTCGCTCCCCGTAAGCGATTAACCCGAAGCCCACTTCCGAGATATGCTTCGCTTGTCACGCACAAGGGTTTCAATGTGAGGATTCGTGCATCATAATGCTCAGTAATTCGTGACAGAAGAAAAGAATAGATTTAATTTAGCACGTAGCCTCGTACTGAAAACTTTGTGCGTGACAAGCGAAGCATATTTCGAGAGTGGGTTATTAAACTGATATTTGTATAATATTTAGTAATTATCATCCAACATTATTACGCATATGTACCATATCAAAAACAATAAAGCAATGCAACATTAACGACAGCTGGTATAGATAAGTTTGCGAGTTTATGTGAAATCATTTTGCGCGTCTTTTTTAGTTTAATGCCACTGTGCTGAGTATAATACCAAGATCCCCTTAGGAATCGAAGCGCAATTTGCAAGTTCTAGAGTATGACATGGAATGCCTTGCGAGTTGGAAGGTTTGTAGGTCATGTAGCTAGAGTACCGAGACACTCGAGAGAAGTTRTCAACTTTTTTTAAGGATGTTCGCTTAATAAGTAAAGGTTTCACTTGCCGAAAGAAAAAGTTTTTAAGAGAGGGGAAGTGATTTTTGTTTTTTTGAATTATACCATTCCACAACTACCGGTTCGTTTTTGTGGGGTTTTTTCTTTTTCTTTTTCTTTTTCTTTTTCTTTTTCTTACGTAGGAAGTACAACATGGTGCACGGAAACTAAGTAAATCCCCCATAGACTCCCACAGACTATTCTTCTATTTTTGTCAGCTAATTCAACAAACGACTGAGTCATGGTGACTATTTTATTTTAATCCATAGTTATAATGCAACCTGTTGCTTAAATCTATCCTTGGGTTCTAAAAATTAAGAAGAAAAAAATCAGTACAAACGTTAGATTTGAGCAAATCAATCTATTAATAGACCAAAGTAAGCCCGACACAGTGTCACTTTCTTGGCTTCTATTAACCATGTGACTATTAATCCAAATATAAGTTTTTTGCTATTTCGTTCAGTTTATAAATTTTTCCTCAAGAGCACTGCAAAACATCTGCCCACCTGTAGTGTATATTCAAGTTCGTCAAAAAACGTCTTCGTGCTAATAAAATACAGATTTTGGCCCTCAAACTCGAATTCAAAAGAACGTCGCAAAATGCTAAAACTTAACATATGAGGCCAACTTTCCGGCGATATTCTGGTTGGGTGGTAAAGCACAAAACGTTTCACACCGAGGCCCCGGGGAAACAATAATGTTATCGGGATTATTCTTTATTTTGTATGAAACCTCAGCTCGCCTTGGAATGTTTTGTGCTTGATCACTATTCTCTATTCGATTACATGTTCTTTGTTACAGCAGTATCTTGCTCTCCCAAAGACATGTGGCTACATGTTTTGTATTAGCCATTTCGATGAGGTAAAAACTGGGTCAAGTTGGGCATTACAGTCCGTTTGATTTGTTTTAGGGCGTATGTCAAAGATGGCGACTTCATTTTTCTCTAGAGCCATTAAGTATAAAATATCATTCAGAACATGGCTTACCTACAAAAGTTGCACATTTTCTGACACCCAAGCTTTACCGTAATGAAATTGCAATTCGCTTTGTAGATGTCACATGTTGCATCACCCCACTTGTTTTTGCAAGCTAAACATCACAAGAAAAAAAAAATTTAAAACAGAAAAATTATCGTCTGCACTTGACACTAAGACGCTAAATTTTAATTCAAACTGTGAGTTAGCCGTGCTTTGACTTTGATCAGCCCAGAGGTTGTTTTAATGTTCGATCCGTGCGTGTTAACCGTGCCCTGACTTAGATCAACTCAACATAGAGTTTGTTTTAGGCTTTGATTAAATGAAGATTATTTACTTCTTACCTGGTGGATTAGTTGGTGGAGGAAGAGGTGGAAGAGTACCTGTGTGGAAAAGTTTCACTATTAATCAGTTATCAATAATAGACCTTGTACTAATATGGCGGCCATCTTGAATTATGGGATGCCGAGGGGGCAAACACGTAGAAAACTTATAAAGCATAGAGTGGCGGAGTTACATTTTCAAATTATATAAAGTCTTGGTGTTTCGCATGATACTTTTCCAACTACCAGCAAATTTAATTGCTTTCTTCAGATGAGATTCCCATTGAAAAGGGTAAAGTTATATAAAGACACCCTGACAGTTATGCAGTCTATAAATTTTCCAATAGTTTACCCCTTGGCATTAGCGTCCTTTGCAGACGTTCATTATTCGTGTCGGTCTCTTATTCCTCCTCTATCTCCCCCCTAGGGATAAGAGTCAGACACGAATAAGGTCTGCAAAGGAGGCTACCTCGGCATCCTATAATGTCATGATTCAAGCAAAATTCAAGATGGCTGCCGTATCGATAAAAAGGGCTGTTTTATCCGTCAAAGCCTACGGCTTTGACAGTTAACACAGCCGTTTTTTTGGACTTGATGGTTTACGATATATTTCATTCTCAAGCTCATACAAAAATTGTGTACTGTATCAGGTAAGGAAAGGACTCTTCTCAAAAGTAAAGTGGATGCGAGGCTAACATGAAAATACAAAAACAATCACTTTTCGATGGAATTTGTGGCATTTCTTTTGTATTTCCATGTCGACCTCGCATTCAAAACACTTTTAAGATGCATTGTAGACTCTAAAGCAATGTTTTCAGAAGCTAATTAAATGATAAAATGTTCAGTTTCATATTTTCCTTACCTCCTGAACTAGTTCTCTGGTTTATCCAGTCAATGTACGAACTCACTCGTGCAAACACCGTGTACGTATTCTCAGCCAGGCACTTAGGGTTCCCCCAGCTTACCGCCCCTCTCAACACCCACCTACCACCCTCCTCACAAACAAAGGGTCCACCACTGTCTCCTTGACAACCGCTGACATGGATGCCTGTCGTAGCGTATCCAGCACACAACATAGATTCYTCGTGTACAGGAACCAAGTTGCTGTTTGCCTGATCGCATTTTTGATGTGAGGCAACTGGAAGCTCAGCTTGTTGGAGAATTGTTGCTGCCTTACCTCCTCCAATGGTTCGACCCCAGCCTAGAGAAAATTATTTTGTAATCATTAAGTATTACAGAATATTTGGGAAGTAAGCACGCTGATTGGCTGACTTGACCACATATAAATCAAAGGAAAGATACCCTTGCTCATCAGATCATCAAGCAATGTATGCAGGGGAATATCAATCTCACCCTCTTATATTACATCACTAAATACGACTGAAATAAGAAGTTTACCTGTGATAAAGCATTTTTTGTTTTCGACAACTCTAGAGTCCTTTGGAGGCAGACAAACTGTTCCTATTTTGCCGTTCAACACAACAGGCCTCGCAAGACGAATCACTGCGATGTCATTTCTCAAATGTTTCATGCTGAATCCCTCGTGTGCTTGTATCGAGTGAACTGCCACACTTATCTCACCATCTTGCTTTTTACGATCGTGCTCTCCTACGAGTTATTCAAAGTATTTAGCAGTAAGAAACAAACAAATGGGTCCTCCTATGGAGACTGCGCGTGTTTTTGAATCAGGCCCACACCTACAAACATCATAAGTACTGCTAGCGCAAAGCATTCATGACTAGTTACCTGGTTACGCTGGATATTTCGGTCCCGCTATCTCAGGGTAATTGCAGACTGATCAGGAAGCTTCTAAAGCTGGAATTTCTAAAATTGAGTGGGAGCGTTTCAGTGCCGAACGGCTATAATGGTTCCAGCCTCTTAGTTTATAGAGGAAACTTTTTATTCAAATTTCATATGCGGAGCATTGTATCTAGTAGAGTAATAATCTAAGTTTTGGTATAAAAATCGATGCAGCTAAGGTCGGACTAATTTTTGCCAAAGTGTGGTTACAAAAACTAATGGGAGCATCGTTATTATCAAAAAAATCTTACTCTCTTATTTTATAATTTACTTACCCAAGACAACTCGATATTGGCCGACGCGTGATTCAGAAGACACACAGTGGGCAGCAGTAACTACGTGTTCAGGTGTAATAAGAGATCCTCCGCATGTGTGGAAAAAACCGCCGTATCTGGATTTTCGTTGAAGGGAGATTTGCCAGGGCCATGAGTTGGGTAAAGCATCAGTGCCAGCAACTACACGAGATCCCGCGGGACGATTACCACATCCTGAAGAATTTAAAATTAATACAATGAAAATACAGCAATTTGTTAGGTAGTGCATCAGTGCCAGCAACTACACGAGATCCCGCACGGGATGATTACCACAAGAATCGGAAAATAGGACGTAACGTAATGTAAATTGATAGAGGAGCAGTATAATGGATGAAATATTGAGCTAACAACATGACAACCAGCGGTACGAACATCACACCCTGCAGCATGGATATATGATGCAATGAAAAGCGCGATGTAAGCCAGTGCCTGCCATGATATGGACACTTCTATGGAATAGTAAATGGTAAGTAAACAAATTACAAATCATATAGTGGTAATTGTGCATTCGTTTATAAATTGATGTATAAAATAATATCTAAGGGAAAGTTCGTTAAATATGCCGAGGGGGAATGAAGATTTCTCCATTTTTCCATGGTATGTCTCGGCTACGCCTCRTGAGTCCACAACATTTTGACGGCTAGATGACGAAAATTGTGCTAAATAAGAGAACATACCACGGAAAAATGGCGGAATTTGGTGAAATAGATAGGTGTTGGTTTTAACAGAGACATTCAAAGGCGTTACTCCCAAATCGTACAAATTAACATCTCTCATGACGTGTTTGGGGCGGAGTATACTGTAAGATATATCCTAATGTAAAGGGGGATAAGCTAAGCACTATGATCAAATTTCCTTAACTTCATGTAAACTTAACAAAAACCTTCAAGAAAGGACGCCAAAAAGTATATCTATATATTACCTTCTATCAAGACAGGCGCAAATGCAAACAGCGACAATATCACAATCTTCAGCATCATCGAATCTTTTCTTCAGAATGACCAGATTATCGAGAGAGTCACTTATTTCAGAATACGTGATGTTTGTCAAAAAAGAAGCAGGTGGGAACCTGGGCAAACAAGGTTATCAATAACATCCCGAGAAGGCGGAACAGTAGGGGTGCCTTCAGGGTTTAAGAGACTGACCCACTCAATCCAATTTGCATGCATTCATCGACTTTTCCATTTCCTAAATAGAAGGTTAAAAATCCGAAGCTGCGTCACATAAAAAAAACGGGATCTTATCCGAACACGAGGACACCCGGCAAATTTGAGGCTGTTGTAAACCATATTTTCAAGGTTTCGAAATAATTTTCTCTACCATCTGTTTGATTCTAAGACGGTCATTTTTTACTCAACTAGTGCAATGCCTTCAAGGCACGATAAATCTATACACGAATTTTGAAAGATATCGAACACTACTTGTATTGTTTTTGAAAAATATATTATTAAAATTATATATTGTTTTTGAACTGAAACTRTTTCGCATGGAGACAAAAATACGCCCATCATCGTATTAACATGAATCTTGGTTTTACGAAACACAAAGACACTAATTAATTCTTATATTCCCTTTCACACCATCTCATCCCAGTTTTGTTAAGGGAGACTGAGTACCATTCCCCCCCTTCCTAGTTGGAGTCAAAAATATGAAGTACAAGCAATAAAACTGAACAAACCTAGTTTCTGTAGCCTTGTAGCAGCTGCCTTCTGTGTTATGGTACAATAGAACGGTAAATATTGACAAGTCTTGTAAAGGATGGCTGAGTTGTCATTCTTGGTTCAGCTTTAGTGACTAATCTTGACATTGTTTCCTATCGGATGACCATTCTTTTCGTAGACGTATCACTCAGGAAATTAAAGAGTCAGGATTAAATATTTATTTGCATCCTTAGTTGTGTTGAAAACCTATCAAACGATTTCAATTTTATATTATTTATCAATGGTGTATTTTGAAGGTGGACVATCATTTTCCATCAAAAGCAAGACGTTCTTTGGGGGGGGGGGGGGGGGTTATTGACACATCTCTATTTGGGCATAATGCCTTCCCATAATGACACCATGTGTCATTCTCGGCTTGACAAAATCAGTTATCCTTCGTTAAAGCTGTATCCATATTCATGTGTCTTCTCATGTGCAGCCTCGAATAGCTGGACTACGTCTCGATAACTATTCAAAGATATGCACTTCGCCTTTGGCGAAAAAATGTTGCCACGACGATTTGTGCCTCAATTCGGTTTTAGTATTCAGTGTTGATTAATGAAAAACACACCTTGTTTTAGGAAACGTTCGTTCGGCATGTTTGATTTGCCATTCAGTATGGGGTACAATGAATCAACTTACTTCCTTTTTTTCTTGTCTAATTCTTTGCATTTGAGACAATATCGAGATAAAATTATGTAATTTATCTACATTTATTGGCAATTACCATGGAATCGATCTTTAACTGCTGGGCCCGGCGTAAATTTTACAAATTGTTCTGCTCTATTAGCTGTTTGAATTATCACTTGCGTTCACTAGTTATGCCCTCGTGTATACCGTATTATGCAACATTTATGGGGAATTGAGTTTGTTTTTTTTGAAAATGAAGTACAATCACATATACATATGCTTTACCTATTTCAATCATAATGACAAGGCAATTGCAATTAGGCTTCATTGAATACTCATCGTGATTTCCTCTCATCCAACGCCCTGGAAATTTGTAGACGCTTGCTTGGAACATCATCTTTTGGTAGTTCCAAAATGACATTTCGGTTTTGCATTGGGATTACCCCTATACTTGCAGCAGTTACTTGACCGGCAGGTGTAACTGTAATATCAACCGTTCTGACTGTCTTTACGCAATGAAAAGATTTTACTAATGTTGTTGCTGCTTTGGCGAAATCTTTGTTCATGAAGAGCAAAATGAACGGATATACTGCTGGGAATAGAAACGTTAAGATCTTCATATTAAGTAGGACAGTTTTGTTGGTCGTATTTCGTTCTCTTGCAGATATCTTTGCAGTTATGCCTCTTCTGGAGTTGATAAGGTTAACAAATGCTACTATTACTGGTAAGCACGAAAGAACTAATGCCACGAAGATCATCGCACTAGTTTTAGACATCTTTTTCGCGCGTTTTACGACTAAAGCTACTTGAAGTGAATCTGTCTCTGGGCTAAGCATATTACTGTTGTGTATTTTCAGTGACAAAAAAGTCCATAGTTGGAAGGCAGTTATTGTTAAAGCAAGTATACTTGCTCCAACGTAGAAAACCATTTCAAGAATTCTAGTATCTTCCCAGAAAATCCCCTGAGAACSGAACGTCACGATGATTTCCGATATCCACAAGTATGCAACGTGCTTTCGAGACTTCTTTACGGTATATCTTGTTCGAAACCTTGCAGGATCAGACACGGCTTGTAGGTGATAATAACTTAGCAGAGCAAGACTTGCTAGTACGCCATAACCAGTTAAATGAAATGCTGCAGCAAAAATAACGGCTGGAATTTTATGGCATGGCCAGATGTACTGAAACGTTTTGGGATCTAGATAATTGTTGACGGCATGTAAGGGCTGTACTACAATTCCAGCAAACAAGCCTGCGCCACAAATACTGCAAAGGATTGGATGAACGACATCATAGACTTGAGAAATCTTTAAAAGTATATAGAAAATCATAGCATTCATTATCACAGATACTATTGACGAAACAATGTTGAGCACTAGCCCAGCCAAGAACACGTTCTTTTCAGCATCTGACAAATTGTTAAGGTATATCTCACTTAAATTCATACACGAATCGGCATCGAGTTTTACTTCTGGTCTTTCCGAAATCATACTGGCGGATTTTCAGTTCCTCTCAGGGCATCATATGCATGCATGTGAATATATAGAGCTGGTTAGGTCTCACGATTTGAGGGTTTTTCTCCAGGTTCTTCGGTTTTAACTCCCTCCGTAACAAACCGTAACAAGCTAAATTCCAAATAGGTCTGTGGAATAGCCCGGTCCTGATCAGCCCAGAGGTTGTTTCAGGATAACGATAAAAATTGATTTGATTTTTTTTGAAGGTTTTAAAGTTTATACCAATATTCTAGACCATAAAGTTCAGGCGCTCCTAGATGAGTGTGAGCTTAACTATCTCACAAGTGAATCACTCGGTGAGCAGCTTGCAGTACTGAGTGCTTATATATTTCTACGAGGACCGCGACGCGATGGCGGGATCCAAAACAATCAAACGGAACTGAATTAATCCAGAAACAAACCCTATAATTATCGCGCATTTAGAATTCATTTGCCAATTCTAAGTTAAAAGTATAGATCAAACTTAGACGTTTTGAAATGAATGAATGAAGGAATGAAAAACATGAAAATGAGGAATTTTGGAAAAACGCTTGTTAAGCCTCTTTTAAAAGAGACTTATGAAATTGCCTATACTACTAACTCAATATTGAGTTCTCCTATGACAGCACACTCATCAACATACTGGAAGTATAAACTTTGATATCTCCGATGAAGATGCACCACTCAAACTATCATATCAAAATATTTTACCATTCAAATATTCACTTTATGTAGAATAGTGGAAATATTGAGCTAGGTGTCATAGGCACTTTAACAGACTCCTGTGGTCTATTGACTCGTGTTGCCACTACTTCAGTTATCAATTCTAGATTAGAGTGCTTTTTCTGCGCGACCCAGAAAGTTCTAGACGCAAAGAAATTTCCCGTTCTAGATTCAGTTGGCTGCCATCTTTCAAAAATAATTTTCGAAAAAGGTTGGTTAAAGTTTTGTTATAATAATGAAATAATAATGTTTATCATATAATTATCCATAAAATACCTATACTTCTCCTTTTCGAAAAACTGATATTTCACATGTGAAAATATCGTTCAATCTGTTTATTTAAGCTATTAGCTTACAAATAAAAACTTTTTATAATAACAAAAAGCTTATTAAGGTGATTTTATGGATAATTATATAATAAACAGAATATTTCATGGAGGCTTGGATACGCGAACGAGTGAGAGATAATTCGATAATTCTAATAAGCTTCAGTAATTTAGCCTTAGTAATATATATAAAAATAAACATGAAACTTTTACAAGTTAAATATAAAAAATATGAAAGAAACTATAACTCCAACCTCGACTTGTAAACCGCTTATTCGTGGTCRCTGAACTGAACTTAGATTCTCGACATCGCCCATAGTGTATTTTGGGCTTGGCATGAGTTTGATCAATGGAAGCAAGAAAAAACAAAAACAAAGCAAAAMAAACAAAAAACAAAAAACCGTGAAGTTTAAAGCTTGCGTAAATTAAACAAGAAAAACGTCTCCATACTGTCAAACTATGAATCTCCAGTAGGGAAAGGAAAAAAAAAAAATCTACTCTATGTCCTTTTATTATTCAAGTTCTCATCTGTCGTTTCTACTTAGCCAAGAAGTGCCCACAGGGTCAACTTAACTCAAGCAAATTCAATCCTAAAGCGGAGGAGATCTATTTGGCCCCTCCCCTTGGATACTCCATAGCTCTTATATAATAATTTCGTTGACAACCTAAGTTTTATAAACAATAAATAATGATTTATTATTACTTAATAGATACTCAGTTTTTTCTGACATAAAAATGTGTGAACTAGAATATCTAAATCTTAGTAAAGAAAGAAGTCTTTTTTTCCCTAAAAGCATTAAAAATGTACTTCTGTGATCTATGGCCAATTTGTAGGTTTAGAAAATGAAATCTAACTTCAGGATTTTTACAAGTATCAACAATATTTTGCTTTTCGAAATATAAAGTTGCCAAACAAACAAAAGAATGACAACAGCAACAACAACAAAAAACAGGTAACAAAGACAATGACAGGACTCCATTAGTATTGGACAGGATATTTTGTGTGCTTTCCACTTCTTGTTGGGCTGAAGTGGGATGAAATTTTCATTTCATTAGAGCAAAAGATCTATCAGGACTGAAGTAGGGAGGTGGATATGAACTTGGAGAATACAAGCATATGTACAGTACAAAGTTAAGCTTGGCTCTAGCATTAGTAAACAACAGAGTTCAGGGGATCTGCACGAATATCTGATAAGTCCATAGCTGCATCTACTTCATCGTCAATCTCTCCAATTAATGCTCTGAGGAGCAAGACAGACAATGATTAGCAATGACAATGACAACAAGGTTTTTTAAGCTAGTTAAGCTTTGGGGGGGGGGGGGGGGAGGGGGCAAATCAACTCCTTTTCCTTCTTTGATTTAAATAATACTGAATTCCTCATTAAGAACAACCCTCATTCTATCTATCAAATTTACAAATTTCTGATTCTTTTAAAGCCTGCTTAGGCTGTTAGATAGAAAGAAGGACTTTAAATTACATAGGAATTTATAAAGTATAAAGTTACAGTGCAGAATAGCCGAAGACGATTTCTATTTTCTTGAGAAAATTAGTTTCATCTTTAACATAAGAGATATTTTGGAGTGCTAGTGAGTGGGTGAAAGTGGGGGGAGGGGGGAGGGGGAGGAGGCAGAGTACACATGTATCAGTGCAAAATATAATTTCAAAGAGTACTTGATGAGTAATTTGGAAGTTTGGCTGTTGTAGATTCACATAACTTACATGTTATCTCCTCTGATGATGTATAGTCCTAAAAGAACTTGTTCAACTCCACTGCCTGAGGAAAATACTCTTTCATGGCTCTCATCCAGTATAATATTTACTGTTTGGTCAAAACCTTTAAGGATGCCCTGATAAATAAAACAGGTATTTCAGATAATGAATAGACCTAATGCATAAGCATTTTTCATTTCTTCATTCTACTATGAATCTTCACCTTTACCTAAAGTCGAGATGTTCATTTTGACATAACTCCCTGAGTTAAGGGAGAGGGTCACATGACCTCTACATGAATCCCAACCAACTCTAGGCTTTGATTGTTATACAGCTATCCAAAATCCAGAAATTTAGCAAGACTTTTTACAACTGTTACAGTGGATTTCACATAACTTTTGACAATCAGGTCCCGAAGTTTGTTTGGAAGTTCGGAAGTTTGCTGACAAACTTTGCATATTAGTTACAAAGTTTGAATCAAATTACTGGAGTTCAAAACAAAGTTCTGAATGTTCTTTCCAAGGTTGGGAACTTAACTGATATTTTCATAAACAAGTGAACTCTGTAGACTTTTCCTTGAGTGAGAATGGGCTATGAGTCAACAGCCCAAAAGGCCAAAGACCAAATGGGCTATTGACTCATACATAGGCAATGAGGTTGAGAGGACTAATTGTCTTAGCCAAATACAACTATTCGGTTGAACATATAGATGTAAATAAGTTTTGATTTTCAAAGCACTTTTCGCTACTAGTAGGGTATAGCTTATAGCCTACTAGTAGATCATCCAATCAGAACGCAGCATTGCTGATAGAAAAATAAATTAAATAACTTACCACTATCATTCGTCCGTCCTGTGTTATAACAGCTACAGTATCTAGAATACTCATCAAGGTGGCAACGTAATACATAAAATCTTACATGATTTTAAACTATCAAGTCTATTATATTTATAAACATAGCTCCTCTTGAGGAGACTTTAGCTTTCAGAAAAAAGCTTGTTTAACTGTTGAGGCATGTTACCCTAACTAATAAATTAAATTGTGTAATAAATGTAAATAATTACGTAACAAATTCATAAAACGGGCATCAGTTTGAGCCAATTCTACTCTCTTTATGCACAGAGGTCGAGATCTGAAGAATTATTTCTAAATTAACGCAAAGGATACGATTCACATAGGACTCCAAGGATGTCGCCATCTTGGATTATGATGTGTAGTATTGAGCACGCGCAAAAAGGWCATCAGCTGACCGACTTTATATTTTTATTTTCTCAGAAAAACATCTGCTTTGCTTTTATCTTTAATCTTGCGTTTTATTTTTAAAAACATATCAATTTCTCTTTCTTTCTCTTGTAGCGATATTAATTCAAGGGTTTGAAGTTCAGAGAAAATTAGCCCAACATGGCCGATCATGCCAGGAAGTGCTTTGGTTGCGGAAAAACAGGACACTTGAAAAAAGACTGCCCAAACAAACAACGTATTAGTCTCTCGAATATCAAATGTTTTTCCTGTGGAAAACATGGCCATATGAAGAGGGAATGTCCAAGTTTTGCTTCAGGCGAAGGGGCAGTTGATTCAAGCGAGGGCTGCTCCCAATTTCAAGGGAGMTTCAAGAAGCTACAGCTCTATCCAAAATGTCACACGAATTTTATTGATACGCATTGTCATCTGGAGTRTGTATTTGATAGATTCAGGCATAGTAGGGGTTTTGAGGAGTTCAGAGCAATTCATCCATTCCCAGAATTCTTTGAAGGGTGTGTGACAACTTTCTGTGACCCTGCTGCTTTCTCGGCATTTGGCATGTGGGAGGAGCTTATCATTCAGGATAGAGTATGGGGAGCATTTGGCTGCCATCCACATAATGCAGAATACTATACAGAGTCTTTAGAGGCAAAGATAATCCAGTGTCTAGAGAATCCCAAGGCTGTTGCTCTGGGTGAGACTGGTTTGGATTATTCCAAAAGGTCTCGCTCAAAACCAGAAATACAGAAAGAAGTTTTCAAAAAACAAGCTACTTGGGCAGTCACTCTGGGGAAACCACTGGTTGTCCACTGTCGTGAAGCAGAAGCCGATACACTTAAAATTCTTCAGGAAACAGTGCCAGCCCACTGGAAGATACATTTACATTGCTTTACAGGCACTTCTGCATTTGCTTCAAAATTCTTGAATGCTTTTCCTAATCTTTTCATTGGGATAGCTGGGTTGGTTACCTTTGCTAAAGCTGCTGAAATTCACGAGTTAGCATTTGACATCCCACTGAACAGAATTGTTCTAGAAACTGATGCGCCTTATTTTGTACCTAATGCTGTTGCCAATAGCAACAAGTGGAGTCATCCTGGAATGGCTATCTATGTTGCCGAAAAAATTGCTGAAATCAAAAAGGTCCCTATTGATGATGTCCTGGAGGCTACCAGAAGCAACACCCGGCAGTYGTATGGTATTTAGTTTGGAAATCTATAAGAGATAGATTGGTGGTCGATAATTATGTGTATCCCAACCCTCCCCTGCCATCCAGGTCTTTTTTTATCAGTAACTTTCCCTGTAATTTCATTTTTTACTCCATATGCAAATACTGTCATGAATTTCTTGGGGGTTCACGCCCCCTCCATTGAATCAGGCATTTTGCTTCAATTTTCAAATTATTTTAGTAAGGGAACTTGTAGAAATTATCACAAAAAGTTATTTTGGATCTTGACACCATTAGGAATAATTGCTCTGTATTCTTAACGCATTGATGGAACTTTTAATTTACTAACAACAATCACAGGAAATGTCATTTATACAGTAAACTACATTTTTTATGTCAATATTTTTCACTTTTATTCCAATGATTCAATTATACACTTACACTTTTTGTCCGAAACGTTTTTATGTCATTCAGCAATTCTATATTCATAGTTTAGTCCAAGAAAGGACTGCCCCAATCAACTCAGCGTCAACTCAAAATTCAAAACTTTTTTATGTCATTCATCACTTCTATATTTCTATTTGAGTCCAACAAAGGACTGACTTGAGAATCAACTCAAAATCGAAGACTTTTCAGTTGAATGCATATTACTTAAAGAGATAAATACTGAGACATTTTAATTTAAGGAATATAAAAAACGCTTTCATGTCTCTGTACTGTGATATAAACACACACTGGGAGCTGTAGAGCACAAGACAAGCAAGCTTACAGCTTTAGAAATACAAGGCATAGCCCAGTGTTTCTCTTGCTTTTCAAGTGCTGTGCAGCTCCCGCAGTGTTTATATGACAATATAGAGACCTAAGCAGCCATTTTATATTGCTTTCATAAACTAAATATTTTTGGAGAACTTTGTGCAAATTTGTCTCTGTCCTCTGATATAAGCACGGTAGCCAGCCAATCAGCATATGCATTATATTTCAAATATTTGTACATGTATACTATAATTCCTAATTAATATTTTAAACTAAAGTGTTTTAAACTTAACTTGATAAAGTTAAATTATAATTGACATAATTAATTTTACTAAAAACAAGCATATTGATATATAGAAAAAATAATAGTAAATTGATTTTAAAATACTTAATTCATTATCAATGGTAGGTTAAAGGAGAATGAGAAATTATTTTTTTGTTAGTTATTTTTATTTCTTTTTCAAAGATGGGCTGCTATAAGAGGCACTAACCTTTTAAAGTGGAGGAGGAGGGGGGGTCTAAATTAATCCTTAGGAACAATTACATATTTACATATTTACATATGATAATTAATAATGTTAGCAAATTTTAAACAATATCAAAAATCTGGGTTTTGAGATTTTTTTGTTGCATCAAAAGTAATGTAAAAAAGTTGACTTTCATATTTACAATATAGTAAAAGGTTAGCAATGTCTCGGTTGTAGATGAGCAATGTACCATTCTCCATTAAAAACGTCCATATGCATTTCATTTTTAGAGTTTCCTTCTAATTATCTACTGAGGTTCAGCAAAAATTTGGGAAGGGGAAGAGGGGGCTTGCCCCCCTCACTATGCCAATTAATATAGTATCAGAATGACTAGAACATTACATATAAGGCGGATTGTACATGTATTCATTGTACATGTTTTTACCAATGGACTGAATCCACCTGTGCATAATGTAATTTCCCTTATGGAAAAACATCATGCCCAAGCAGATTTGGTCTTTTCATACTTTTTAAATTGGTTTGTTTGCTCTCTAGGAGGGTGACATCTACTGAAAGTGATTCAAAGAATCATATTACAATGCCAATTTTTTTTAAAACGAATACAAGATTAAGGGGAGGGGACAAAGCTACTTCACAACACATGATCGCAAAAAAAAATTTTTTTTTGATATAAATATTACTTATTGTTACTTTTCTGGAGAAAACTGGGGGTAGCTACAGCACTGCACTATCCACCTCTGACCACCCCAGTTTCCAGTTCTTGATTTATTATTTTAGTACATTTTTTCCCCAAAAGAACAAGTGCCTCTGTTTCCTTTGAATTCAGAGCTGTTGTCAAAGTTTTTGTCATAATTATCCTAGGATACCAATACACCAAAGGTCAGGTTTCTAAAACTGTTGGCTACATTTCATMTCTTGATCATAGCTTCCCCTCCCATGGTCCTTGTGGTTGCATAAAGCATTCTTAATCCCTCCCCCCACAGAGCAATTTGGAATTTCCGAGGGGTAAGGGGGTCAGAGAAAGAACAAAATTACAGAGTTTGTATGGAAAAAAATTGGGATTTCTGTGGGTGGTAGGAAAGAGGGATCGAGGGTGTGAATAATTTCGACTGGAACTACACAATAGTAAAAAATCGATATAAATATTTCTATGCTCCACTTTTGCTTGRAACTATTGACAGAGTCAACTTTCATTTTAAAAGGGTGGTGTCTGTTTCAGGGTAGCTTGTGCTAAGAACAAAGGAAACCCATAAATTGGTGGGAAAACAATGTATCAAATTGAATTTAAATTGGAATTTGAGAAATTTGAAATTTATTTTTTATTGTGCAAAAGGAGGGTGACCAGTTGCGCTCATTGTCACCCCAGGATCAGCCCCTTGGCTACTTTCGGGAATCCTTACAGCCCTGAATTTAAAAAAGGCTTTTAACTTCTGTTGAAGACTTTTCATATGGAAAACCAACAAAATAGGATTGATTACACAGTTGGAAAAGCATATTATTGCAGTAGCATATCCCAAAAGGTGGATCGTTTTGTGCCCTAGCTTCTTCAGTTTCCCATACTTAAGTGCTACAGTATATACCACAAGACCCAAGTATGGTACGATGAAGAAAAAAATTACACTAGAAAGAATTCTTGTAGCTCGGATCTTCTGTAGGTGTTCTGCTGCATTTGGTAGTATGTTGACAGTATTGGTGGATTTTATGTTACAGATTGTAGATAACGTGGTGAAAGTTATGATAACTCCTGTAGAACAGTAATTGAAAGGAAAACATGAAAATAACTAGTATTTCTGTCAACTCTGAGGGTCACAGGCAGCCCAAGCAATGTTACTGCAATTTGATGCAGGGGTTCGTCTGACTAGTAGCCTCCGTTGCAGACGTCTTTACATAAAACGTCTGCAACGGAGACTATCCGACTACATCATCTTGATTTTTTGGGGGGTTGGTTGGTAGTTCGCCTGATCGAACCAGTCCCTTCCAACCTCCCCTCCCCCATTCTATTGAAATTTTGAAATGTCCAGGGAATAGACACCGTCCATGTACAGTATCCCCTATTTTTTATAAATGGCTAGTGTGAAACGAGACATACCTGGAATAAGATAGATGAGGAGGACGAAGAGAAGTGACAGGGTGTTAGCGACAGGGGTATTGGCTGGAATACATGCCATGCTGTAAACAACAGAAGTAACACACACCCTTTTGACGTCATACGTTACCGTGGCAACAACTGTTAACAAAAACCCGACACACCAGGCTCCACGGACAAGGCTCCTTGAAGTTACGATGTCGAAAGATCGATAAGGATGAACTACTGCATAGTAACGTTCAACAGAGATTACCAACAGGATTTCCATTGTAATGGTGGTAAACAAAAACCCGATAAAGCGGATCAAACGACAGCTCCATGTTTCAAGAAACACATCAAAATGAAACTGGACCACCAAGATAATGGACGATACTGACGTCATGATGTCTGAATAAGCCAAGTTGTATATAAAAAAATAGACCRACGCCTTTCTTTGGCCGGCCTTGTCCGTGATTGGGCCACGAAACGTTTTTCTAGCCCTTGTAACGTATATGATGAAAGAGTTTTCTATTATGCCGAGAACTCCAATCACTATCCATGTAGTTGTTAGGGCTCGTGTCTCGCTTTGGTATGGAAAAGGTTCATAAATTAAGCTGGAATTTTGACGGAAAAGTTTCCAGTTATTGATGGTCTTTTTGGAACAAGTTTCTATTCTTGGCCATTGATGTTTGGGTATCTCTAGTGAGCCATTTGTATAGTTCGTGATCAACTCCATGAAGACCAGGAGTTCCTGTAGCAAAACGAAAAAAGAAAAAATGATTTAGACATTGCTTCAGTTCAAATAAAAATAAATCACTGATCAATCAATTCATCAATCAAATTTAAGACGGTCCTTGTTTTACAAGCACTTAAAAGCCAGAGCCTAACGTGCCTTTGGCCCTCGTTTCATGCTGTTCGAATCGAAATTTAGGAGTTACCTATTTCTGAGGAAAGAGAACTGGCGGGCGAAGGATTTCGCAAAATAAAAGACAAGACAAAACGTTTTAATCGACAGAGTATAATACCTATTCATGTACTCCTTTTATAAAAGTGGTTTGTCTTTGATAATACCAGGGAGAAAATTATTAAGAATTAGATCTCAACTGTGAGGATCTCCATCGCGACATGACGTAATACACCCCATGTACTCGCAAAAAGGACACTTTCTTTCTGTGGTCAATCCCCAAACCAAACAAGATTTTCGGTTGCTTTTTGTAAAAGGATTCGTTAGAAAAAATTAAACCTGTTTGTTGCAGGCGTATCATTGGGAGAAGCCTAAAATTTCCAGCAAAAGGGGCTGGCTTTTTTTTCTTTCTCGGTTTTGCGTAATATTAAAATTCATGGATAAAGTTGTTGTGTTGTTTTTTAAATAAAATAGCAGGAAAATCACTGGTGATTCTCGTTCTATCAGATATTAATAACTCATTATTCTCTTAAATAGCTCATTGACATTAAGAAACATAAATATTAAAGAGAAGGAATATTCCCAATTTCTAT